GTTGATGCAGACATCTAATGATGAGAGGGCTGAAAAGAACAGGAAAAGGGTATATAGTTGAGGGCATTATACGGAGTACTAGGACAATAGACTGATGCACGTCCGTGCTTTGTAATGCAGGTGAACAATAGCATTGTACAAGTGTTCACAAGTAGCACCAGTTAGTCGCAGCAGGCTTTACCAAAAATCACTTTTGCTTTCTCAATCTCCTATTATCTCCCTCTCTTTGTAGACGAATACTTAAATTTTATATTTGTCGGTGAGTATCAGCGTTAGCAGTGAACCACAAATTACCTGTAGTGGGACTTTTTAAAGAATGCGAGTAAGGTCTGCTATTTCTCACTTTTGAGATTCTGTATTCGCGAATCAGGATGTAAATGGCTCTCAATGTAAATTATAATATAGTAAAGCTGTCGAATAAGTGAGTGAAAGAGGGAAGAGTGTAAATAGACACTTACATCTACTGCATTTTCAAGGAACTGAAGGGCAAACAGCAGGTTTCCCTGTTATTCATTTGGATTCCGCCGACTGTTTGATGTAAGAATTTCTGAACAAATAAATGCTATTTTTTAAGTTTTTGATATAAAGTTGGCTTGTTACCGGGTCAGTCAGGTGAAAATGGCCGATGCGCTGAAGTACTTATTTGTTTAGAGAACACAAGTAACGCTTGGAAGCTTCCTTCTCTAAAGCTTCTATGTGATATGATAGTGGTTTGTCCCTCGGCATTGGTGAGGCGCCACATTTGTACTTGGAATTAGCCCTCTGGTACCTCGCTGGGTGGGCTGGCCTTTTGGGCCATGCCAATAGCCCGGACACCTTTTCTGTGCTGAATATATATTCTGCCCGAGTATTCTATCCTCTTTCGTCTTCAGGGAGTCTCGGGACGCTACATCTATTTCTTTGTTTCTCATTCGAATCTGTTACAATGTGTGGGGAACAAACTGAATATGCATTTGTAAATTACTTCAATTGGGATCCTATGACACATCTCTTGCAGGGCACAGAATTCTACAATAAAGGGCGTCGCAATTTCTTACTGTCACTTGAATGAAAAAAGTTAACTACTCACATCGTATATTTCGTCTTTTATATTAAGGACTACTGTTTGCCGGTGGGTACATTGGGTTATTTTTTTAATTCATGCGGTGTGATTGTGAGACTAGTTGCTGTTTTTTTCCTTTCAGTAGATCAGGGGAACAGTTACTGTTAAAAAACTTCGGAAGTTATTTCTTAG